GTATATATATAACTTATAGAAGAATCAAAACATCTTCTTTGATTACGAGTGTCAGTGAAAGGCCCATGTATAGCATGCACGTCATGTAGGTTAACAAAGAGCGTGAAGTAGAGCATACTCCACATTTTGCAAACGAGTGCTGTCCAAGCAACAACATATACTCCTCTATATATATATTTTACGTATTATATGATGAATATATGTATTAATTAGTGGTACAAAATGTTACAAGTACATAATAAATATATACACGTTAAATAATATATACTCCATCTGTTCCATAATATTGTCTTTTTGAGAATTTTTTTTGTTCCATATTATCTGTCACTTTACAATTCCAATGCTGCATTAATTGCTTATTTTTCAATTTTATCCTTATTAACTCTATAGCACTCTTCATGCATTAATTAATAAACAAAGGGTATTTTGGTCCATCAATATATATTTTCCTAAAATCAAGACATATATATTGAGATTCTTAAGATTTGTGTCAAGGTTAAAACGACACCTATTTAGGAACGGGGGAGTATATAGTTTATTAATCTTCATGCATGTAATTAACGGCTTTCATTAGGACTTTAGAAATTAATGTATATAATTCAAAGTATTAAAAAAATTTGTGTTAATTATATTAGTTATGGCGTGAGAGTGATGGCAATAAATAGTAAAATTAAATGAATATATATAGTGTAGAAGTTATTGGGGGTACTATATATATAAATACGTACGTATATATAGATGAGTCATGTGAATGGGTTCAAATGAATATTAAGCACATGGTATGGTAGTACATTTAGCAATTAGCACCACACATATATAAGCCCCCCCTTGTCCCCTAACTTTGCCATTATTATCTGTTTTTATTATTGTGATGTTTTACCTTATTCCCTTAGACAAATATTCATCTAACATCAACCCCAATTAATTAATTACTCCAAAACTACTTACAACATAATTTATATATATATTATATAGTGAATATATATTCCGTGATGATGACAATGAGTTTCGAACTTGGGTCAGTTGACATAAGCTTATTTGCTCCTACCGTTAGATCATTCCGTGCGGAAAGTAAACGAAATTTAATTTATAAGAAACCAATGATGGATCAATTGAGTTTAGTCTATTTACATGGGCTATTATTTTTAATAAAAGAAATATTACTAATATGAGAAATTATTATATTACATGATATTTGTCCCCATTTGCCTGGGATTTGTCACCCCTGATAAACATATCTTCAAGAAAAGGTAATGCATGCAGTATGTTGATTCTTGATCAGTTCAATTAATAAATTTTGTATTTTTCCTAAGCAAACAAACGACAAATTTCTTGTGTCACATTATCAGGGGCCCACTGTTTCCTCACTCATTGGATGAATTTCACCTAATTTCCAGTAATTCAAATTTCAAATTTAATTACAATATTCATATTTATGCTATAGTTATAAATTTTAATTTATAATCAATATTATTTTATTCTCTAAATTTTCTCTCAAAAACATATCCAAACATAGTCTATAGAAATTTTGAAGTTAAGTACTTTAATATTAATATTTTTTTCTTTTTTTCAAAAAAAAAAATCTTGAAGTACATATCTTAATTAGAACCTTATATTTATTTGTTTTTCTTTTAACAAATAAATCAACTGACACTTTCATTCAATAGCTCTTAAATCACAATAAGTATAAACCTAAGTGAAATTTGTTTTTATAATCACAATAAATATAAACCTAAACATACTCAATTTGTAAAATTTGTTCAAAAAATAACAATTTAATTGACTCCAGCTCACAAGAATGACTCCAAAAATTTTAAAATTATTTTTTCTCAAAAGTGATGAAATTTCAAATTCACTGTCAAGTTCACCTAAACTGTTAAATGCTTGATGTCAATTATTGAAAATAATTTCAAATTTGGTTAAATAATTGCAAATCATAGCTTATTAAAACAAACTCTAAATCCAAATCCAATAGCCCATTATTTAAATAAAAAAAAAAAATTAATGTCTCCAAATATTTGAAAAAAAGAATAACCCCTAATAGAAAGGGTTTAAATAACAAACGGTCACAAAATCAGCTCATCACTTACAAACGGGGGACCTCAACACCGTCATCTCTTATCGCCTCTCTCTCTCTAAAATTCAAACCCTCTCTCCGTAACGGCCATATTCTTTTGTAAGCTTCTTCTTCTTTCTCTCTCCTCTCTCTCTCTCTCTCTCTCTCTCTCTCTCTCTTAATATAATAAAATAAAAAATTCCCAAATTTCAGCCTCACAGTCTCCGTTCACTATATTGTCTCTATAGCTTCGCCATTTGTACTACTTGCATTCTCCGACTAAATTTTTCAGATTGCTGCCGGCCGCTTATAATCCACTGTAAGTATTATTCGACATATACGTACAACTATACGTACATTGATTTTTTGTATGCAGAGGCGGACGACGACCTGTCGGTGATTTTTACTGTTTTTTTCAACATGAAATTCGATCCTTTTTAAGTTGCTTTGTCGTTGTTTGAGCATCGATCGGCCGTCCTTTTCCGATTTACATCTCGATTGTTTATTTTTTATTTTATTTTTGCTCGCCGAAAATAGAAAGATTCCGCATTTGATGTTGATTTATTAATGTGCCTGTTTTGATTTGCGATTTATCTTGGAGATTTGGAATAAATGTGCTTGAGTTGACTCTTTCGAGTTGATTTGATTTTGGTTGCGCAGTACAGAAGGAGAGGAGATTTATTAATTGATTAATTAATCAGTGGAATTCGTCAGATTTGAAGTGACTGAACAAATATACAAGGATGGAGGCTTCCCAGAGAAGAGGAGGTGGTGGTGGTGGTGGAGGAGTGGTGCCAGTATCACCATCTCAGACGCCGCGTTCGAGTGATAAGGCGGTGAGAGATCTGCGATCAGGAGAGGGGAGTTTCAGTGGGAAGCACGATAAGGATACAGGTGTAAATGTACAGGTCATTGTGCGATGCCGGTAAACTAATTCACTTTTAGTTGTTCTTCTGTGTATTAGTTTGTGCTTCGCTTTGGTT